TGCCAGGCTTTTCCTCTCCTGTGCAAAGTCCAGATTACTATGAAACAAAGTCAATATTTGCTTTCAGAGTAAAGTTTAAAAGGGTCATTTCTGCATTCTAAATTAACAAACAAAACTCGCTGGAGAAAGTTAGGGACATATGATGGCAAGTGCTATCCACATTTTCAGCTCCACCCAATGGTTTCAGAGTCAAATACTTCAGAGAAGAAGCAGAAGTGTGGGTCAAATCCCTGAATTACATAGTTGTAGTGGTCCTACCAGCTGTGGAGTAGCTGTGCTGGCTGAAGACACCCTCCTTAATTATTCCAAGGTCAGACACGTGTGGAGACACAACTGATCCATTTTAGTCAAACTGTTTCATTCTGGTCTAGGTGAAGTGCTCTATGAACACAGCATTATCACAGCAGGACCACGCACTTCACTGTGAAAATGGAAAAAAAAACTCGTACCAAGAGGACTTTGGGGGAAAAACTGTCTGCTATTGAGAAAGAATCAGAGCTAGAACCTACCTCGTTCTTACACACATCACAAATAAACATGTAAATGACTCAATCCTTCCCCCAAAAAACAAGGTCAAAAAGTCACCCATGTGTTGCAAGCCCAGGTGGCATGTGGAGTTAGCGTGACCAAAGCGTGTCGTCCCCCAAAAAACAAGGTCAAAAAGTCACCCACGTGTTGCAAGCCCAGGTGGCACGTGGAGTTAGTGTGACCAAAGCGTGTCAGTCTCTCTTACTGGGAATGACGTGGCTAACACTGTGCAAGAGGCAGCTGAATACGTGCCCAAAGCAAGGCTCTGTGCCTGCAGCTCCACGCCTCAGCCTGCATCCTGACACTCCCTAGGAAGGCAACATTGCCCACTCCCTCTCTCAATCCATTTCTAGCTGAAAGGCACACCAGGGAGCAGAAAAATAGGACAAATTAGAGATTCACCATTAGTCCCCTGTCTCACTGCAGAGCTACAGGGGCACTTTCAGAACAGAAACTCTCATTCCAAGGAAGCTCATCTCTGATACTACATTGTAACACTGAAGTCCTGAAAATCAGCATGAATCGTTAGCAAAAACTCAGTGTAAAGAAGCAGACAAGTTTAAACATTAGGAGAGACGAGATAACCTTAAAGATCTCGATCATTCTTAGCATTGATAATAAACTTCCCATGGCCCACAGGAATCTTTCCATTGACTTGGACTAGGGTTTAGTAAGGCTCTGTGGGGTCTCTAGCAATGACCAGTACCAGAAGTGAGCTATCACCTTCTCTGTCATACCCAATTTTAGCACTTTCATATTTTACTTCATCTTTATCCTTTTATGACAACATCTACTGCACATTTGTGAAACATTTAAGTGCATGCAGCAACATCAGCTTTCCTACATATAAGATTTGCATTTAATTCCACAAAGTAGTTAAGAGGAATACGTTGTAGAAAATATTTTTGGTTATCAGCAGGATTAAAACTAAGGCCCATAAATCCATTTCCTCAGTATGAATACAGGGCAGGCTCCTTCTCAAGTCTTAAGGCAGTGCTGGTGGATGAAGTAGGTCATAGTGGCCAATCATTCAAATTGTCTTTATGTAACATAAATCCTGAAAAGGAACCATGACTTATTAAATCCAATTCTGTTATTTCACAAACATGTTAAATAATCCTTTCTTAAAGCAATGAAGCTCCATCTTATAACAACGTAGGATTACTATCTACCTTATTATTATCCGATTAAAAACTGCTCTAGAACCTCACTTGCTTATCTTCCAGTTTCTAACCCACGTTAGTTCAGTTACCTGTTTACCAATTTGGTCTTGAGCCAGCAATGTCTCAGACTCTCTTCACTTAGGATTTAAGAGCTGCAGCTGAACAATGGCCATGGTATCTTGCTGTGACTCTAAAATACAAGATCAAGCTTTCCACCAAACTTAGGCAAAAGCAGCACAGGCCAGCATAGCAGCCCTGAGGTTCCTGGTCATCCAGAGGAAACCCAGTGAAAGAAGGCTCTGTGTGAGACCCAAAGTATCCAGCTTTAAAAACATAAAAACCTCACATGCCTAGCTACAAAAAGTTCACCTCCTATGTTCATAAAGAATTACAGCCTTTTCGATTGACCACATAAACATATAAAGAGAGTAGACAGTGATCCATATCCTCGTTAAACTTTTTTGTTTTTAATTGGGCTTCCTCTCTTAGTGTCCCCTCACAGGAAATCCCGCTCCATTGATCATATTAATCCTTCTACATAAGCTTGCAAGTACCAGCATATCTTCCTCAAACGTGGATTACCACAGTTGTACCCTAAATCCCACAAACAGCTATAGCAATGGCCTGTACCAGAGTATGAGACTTACCTATATCAAATAAATACTAGAACCTCACCTCACAGCAGAAGTTGTGTTCAACACAGCTTGGTCTCTCCTGCAGTGGAGAGATTCAAGAGTGGCTTGCAACTTTAAGATTAAAAAAAAATACAGCTTCAGTGGTTTGAATTATCACTAACATCTAAAAAGAGTGAAAGCGAGAGAGACTCATCTACCACAGCTTCTGTAGTTTTGATCTCCTCCACAAGTGGGTGCAGTAACTCTACGTATGTGTGACATTTTAAAAAGTTCCACCAAACAAGTAACTTTTTCCAAACTCAGTTGACTTTACAGAAGTGAGAATTCTGCTGTTAGAAAGCTGAAATCCCATTTGGTTAAATGAAGGCTGCAATTCTGGTATCTCACGTTAGTCATACTGTCATAGGTGGCAACACCTTTTGTTCATAAACAAAACTAGCTGTGACTGAAAATTAAACTTAACACTACAATGTTAGGTTTCTAAAGCCTTAAGTTAGGTGTCAGAACAGACCTTGTCTCGTGGTCCTCAGACAGGAAGATTCCTCCGTCTCATAAAATTTCCACTGCATCCTTTGAGTTAAAAATGCAACACAGCTTGCACAGCAGCCCAGAAACATGACTTACAATTACATGAACTCTATGAATATAAATTTGTAATAGTTATCAGTGCAATTTTAAGAATATGCCAAAGTGTCCACGTTTATCAGCCTTCTTAGGCACTTCAACCTTCAACAGCACTTAAAATACAAATTATGGAAAAAAAATGTTTGACCCACTCCTACCTTCTGATTTTTGTGGCTAGTATTACAGGCTACGGTTGGCAAAATCATGCTGCTTGTTGCATTTATTTCACAGGGTCAAACTCAGACCCAAAAAAGGCATACCATTTATAAAAGGTATAACTTTAGTCCCACTGCTTATCCCGTTATTGAGTGGTTTCCTTTCAAGGCAATGTCCAATCATTCTAGTTTCCAAATTATCCTTCCCAGAAGTTAAAATCGAAAGCCAACTGAGGCCTCTGAATCAGCTTAGAGAGTAGTCAAGCTACTGGGGCTTTACATTAACCTACCCAAGTCACGCTAGATGGATTAGCTTTTCTAAATCACTGTTCGAAAGGTACTCTCTGATCCAAACCACATATCCCAGCTGACAGCAATCAGATTTAATGGAAGCTCAGCAATGGTGCCCCGAGGCAAGCTCAAGATAAAACAAAATACAGGGTTTCTTACAAAGAAAGGGACACCGGCAGTGTTTTATGCACGATTGAACCAACATCCCACTGACATACGTGTGCTGAAGACAACCATCACTAAAAGCTCCTAAGCCACTGAAAACTTGCTACCATCAGTCAGCGCACTTGCATTTCAGCAGTACAATTCTAGCTACAAAATCAACTAAATAGCAGAAGTTGATGTGGGAAAACGAGCAAAAAGTGGGGAATGTGTTTCAATTTTATCACGTTATTTAGCAGTGTGGATGACCCACACGTGAAGAAAGCATCGAATGGAAATGACTTGGCCCTCCATGCAGGGGACACACCGGCCCAGAGACAACGGCAGAACCATGGGACTTAAAAATAACGTATTATTCAGTTGGTACTTGAGTCTCCCCAAAATAAGATGAAACGCAGCCGTGCTCGAGGAGAGGGAGGAAGCTCTGTCGCTGCAGAGCTCCGTTATAACCCTGGAGAGATAAAACCTTACACAAGCGCATGCAAAGCAGGAAAGCAAAGCCTGCCACGCGGGAAAAGCCCCCGCAGTTCCCTCACGGCCGCCCATGTTTGATACGGAACCGCTTAGAAACCCCCCACT